GTGTGTGTGTGTGTGTGTGTGTGTGTGTGTGTGTGTGTGAGAGAGAGAGAGAGAGAGAGAGAGAGAGAGAGAGGAACGCATCATGGGGAAAATGGAGAATGCGGTATAAGAAGCAACCAACATTTCGTTGTACAGTAAGAATAGTTAGAACAGGATGAACAGTGTAAAGAAGGACGACTTAATGATTGCAACCGTGTGAAGAGGGGTGGATATAAGACAGAGGGTTTGATGGAACCCATTAGAGGTTGCAGACCTTGTTTTGGTTCACGTAGGAGAAACTTGCGGTAGTTGTGGAAGAGATCAAATCAAATTTTCAAAGTTCTCGCAGTACTTCAGCTACACTCAGAAGATTTTGGTGACCATTGAAATTACACTACAACATATTTATTAGTATAAAGGTTACCTTTTGATAGGATGTTGTCAGAGCTAGGGCGAAGGGACAACCTTTTTTTATCTATGCTTCAGAGTTTAATTTTTGGAAAATTACTTTAGATGCTTGGGAAAGAGGGACACTAGACCCGGTTTGCAGCCTTTTAGCCGAAGCTGGGTAATGGCCCCAGTATTACTCCCTTTACATCAGGGTTGAATTGTGAGGTCCCTAGCATCGCCCATGTTTGCATTTGGTCATGAAAGTGACAGACTTTCTAAAAAAAAAAGAAAAAAACTATGAACATATCAACATAAGTTTCATAAGGAAGTTCCTGCACCCACACAACCGGTCCTTTACATGCATAAAAGACAGCAACCCGACATGGTTATCCAAATCACGGATCAACCATATTCTTCTCTCTAATGGCCTAGAAGGTGCCCTGTGATGGTCGTTCATCCTCCCACGGAGCCCGCACCTAGGTTTTGACCACAAGATATCACGTGGGATACTGTTAACAATGAGGAAAAGGCCGGATCAAGGGTCCGGTTTCTATAAGCTCAACACCTCCCTCTTAAGAGATCAACCATTTAGACAAATGATTCAGCACGAGTGGCATTTTTGGCTCCAACAAAAACATCTTTTTGACTCATACTCCACGTGGTTCAACAATGGTCTGATTTTTCTAGATAGGAAGTGCAAGGAATTTTCCAAGGTCAAAGCAGCCCTACAACAACAACAGGAAATGATCATTCATAACGAATTGCTAGACATGGAACAACGGGTAGATTCACAACATCTCACTATCGGGTAATCCGCATCTAAAGAGTGAAAGACCAGCTCTTACTATACGCCCAACACAGATGGCAAAGTATTAGAATAGGAGGGAAAATGGCCAAGCTCATCCAGAAGGTCACGATGGACATCCATTTCTTCACTATGGCTACGGCCTGCGCGTCGGATCGTAATTGAGGCACTTTTTAACCTAGACAAAGGCGAGGAAGTTATGGCGACAGATACCACACACTGCACATTAATCACAAGAAGGTTCTTCAAACAATTATATACATTCAAAATCCCGACTCCGTGTGGGGAGGTGACGACGAGAGAACTAAAATAATTTTTACTACTTATGGACAAACTATGAAACCGTTTGAGCGCGCTTAAACCACCAGTACTTGGCCCAACTATTGGGCACGGGCCATCCCCGTTAACGCGTCGGGGCCTACGGAGGTCAGTCAAGGGAAGGCCCGATCGTTTCTTCTTGGCCGGGGCCCGCCAAGTACGGGATGTCACCGAAGAATTGTAAGAAAAACAAAAATAAAAACATTAAAAAAAAACGAAAATAAAAAGAGAAAGGATCCTATGTCATAGGCGCGCCATAGGAGCTGTCTCTTATACACATCTAGATGTGTATAAGAGACAGCACCAGGGGGCACCAGTGGAATCTCCCTCCTTCCCCTAAGTCCTGCCCTCCTCCTGCTGTCCTCATGGCGTCCAATGTCCCATATACAGGAATTTCACAGGAAATAGAATGTCGAAAATAGAATGTCTGAGTGACAATGAGGATTGTGGGGTCTGCCAGCATTGACGGACT